GACCTCCTCTTGGGTATGGTCCACTGGCATCCAAGCACTCATTAGCCCGTACCAGCTGGTGACCAGTATGAAGATTATTATTCCCTATTTGGACTGTGTATACAATATTTCAGCCTTCTGCTTATATGTGAAACATGCTAAGATTCTGTAGCAGATGCATTTATCCATTGACATTGTCCATATACAGTACATGAATATATATTAGCAAGGGTTTCTCTTACACTGAACAGCAACACGAATCAGGGAACTAAGGATACATCATACTCCACACACATGTTGTCTCGAACTTTTTAACTTGTTTTTTCATATAGCATGGTATACAGAGGGAAAGGCCTGGTCTGCTACATTGTCACAGTACATTACAGTCCGCAGGAATCATAGGACATATCACCCGCTAAGCCATTCACACTACTCTGGACAGGATGTGTCACTCCAAGGGAATATCCATCCATTTTCACTATTTCAATATTCATAAAAATATTTTCAATAACTGCTTATTCCGGTACAAGGTGGCAGATGAGCTGCAGTTTTCACTGGCAGACAATATGTCACGAACAGTTCTTTCAGGGCCCTATGCAGACAACACGATCTGGAGGGAAGTGAGGAATACAGTAGGAAAGAGGCATGCTAGGGGCTGGCAGGAAAGGGGGGAGGCGTGTCCATGGTGCACTAGTGTTCAGGGGAGGTGTGGCTGAGGCGAACAGTCCAAGGGAGTCCGATGCAAATCCAAGAATGAAGCGAAAGTCCAAAGCCGGGTAATCCATCCTGACAGACACACAGAAGAATTAAAAATCCGGAGCGGGATCCGGTGGAGGGTCGGGGGAATAAAAGGGGGTAATGGGACCAGACGCTCCCTGATCCCGGACCCAGATGGTCAGGACGCCGTAGTGAAGCCTATGCCGTCGAGCTGCTCCTGGACTAGAGGGTAGGCGGGCTTCCGGGCGTCCATGTTCCAAAGCTGAGCCCCGATAGGCAGGAACGTCGGGTTTATATAACACAGGGCCTGGAACTGGAGACAGGTGCTGGAGATAAATGAAAACAAGGTAGGGCTGGAGCGTCCTTAAGAGGAGGGGTTTACGATCGTGACACAATGGGCACAAGGCAGGATACACTCTGGACAGGAAGACAGATCATCACAGGAAAGGAACATACATTTACTTACACACACATTTTGGTGACAATTAGATATGACGAGTAATTCTATATAGCATCATTTTGGGCTGCAGCCTAGACTGGAATCAGATCTAGGGCTCTAGAGCTGTGAGGGTGCAATGCAAATCAGTGTGCCAACTCTATTCTATAAGCGTCTCATCTGGGGCTGTACAGTTTATTCTGGTAGAGTATTTGATATGAGTTGGGTGGCCTATCACTAACATACATGGATTTGTGCAGAGACTTCATTTACCATTTACACTTTGTCTTCTTCTGAAAAAATTATGCTATGAAAGGTATTATGCAGAACTTGAAAGATTTCTCTTATATTGTTTGAGCTACCCAATCTATGCAGATTGATTACAATGAAAAATGGGATAAAATGAGTGATTCTTTAATTTTTAAGGTGTAAAAAGCTTGTTCAAAGAAGTAAACATTACCTGAGCCAACTGATCATTTTTAAAAGAAAAGTAAAATCCAGTCAGATTATCAGTATCTCAATTAATACCTACATGCGTGACAAACAAACACTTACAAGATCAAAGCTTCAGGAAGCGTTACATTTTACTTGCACCCTGAAAGCTTTACCTTTCATAAAAGGAAAAAAAAAGATTCTCTAAAGGCCCTTTGCAGAATGCTTTGCAGAGTGTTTGTTGTGGCAGTTGAGTGCACAAAAGAATTCCACAATTTTCAGTCTTTGTTAGAAGAGATGCTTTTTATGAGCATCATGTAAATGGAGTGTGAAACTCTTCCTTTGAACTAATTGTCACTGAAATGCTTTTTCAAAGGGTGCCTTTGTCTAAATAAATGTATTATTCTGAGAAATAGAAATGGGCTCAGTCCTTAATGCACCCTCTTCCCTAAAGGTAAGGTGGTTTTGTAGTTCATATGAATCCAAAAGTGAATAGATTCTATGGAGTCATCTTTTCTTAATGACGACACTGTGAAGTGATTACCTCCAACTAAGCCAAAGTAATCTAAAGGCAACATGTGACAGCTGTTTTTACTGTCCTTCTATTTTGCTTGTTAATATACTGTACTTGTGGTCAAAATGATAGTGTCCAAATACAGAACAAAATCCACAATATTTTTTTATTCTAATTCTAATTCTAATTCTAATTCTTATTAACAAACACAGCAACATCTTGCATTTGAGATTCATCCATCATCACAATATCAAGATTTCAACTTCACAGTATATCCCATCAGACTTGTCTGTTAGGAGAATTTAGCCCACGTCTTCCACGACAAAACACAAACATTAGTCATGCGTATTGCAAACCAAATCCAAAGATATACTGTAGTAGTTCAGGTGGGTAGCTGCGTCAGCATGTGTAAGCTGCAAAGGAACAAGTAATAGGTTTATTCCATGCTGAAAAGAGAAAAAAGAAAACACAACGTTTTGGCTGTGGAGCCTTCTTCAGGTGTGTTTTCTTTCTTCTCTTTTCCGCATGGAATAAACCTATTACTTGTTCCTGGTATCTTTTGTTTCAACGAACGACCTATTCTACAGCTATACCGTCTGGGTGAAATCATTTTAAATAATAAAAGCAGATGATAAAGTATTTGAACATATTTTAAATTAAATCTAATTATGTTACCCAAAATAATACAGTACTAGGAACACTTAATCGGCAACTAATTGACAATTCCTATAATGTTGATGTTAAATGATAAAAAATTGTATTCATTTTTGGATATTTAGGGCCACAGTTTTATTTTTAGAACTTGGTAACTCTGTAGCAGCAGTGTGTAGTAGGAAAGCTGTGGCTCCTAATCCTGGGTGTGGTGTGGCACTGCTGTACTCTTGAAGGTGGCATTTCAATCACATTCCTACAGTATAATGCCCAGCTGTATAAATGAGTACCTCAGAGGGCTGTTTTGGATCAAAGTGTCAAACACTAATCCCCCCAATCCATATGAAGTGTAAACTTGTTATATGGCAGTTAATAATAATAATTAATAATTGCTTACACTAATATAGCGCCTTTCTGGGCACTCCACTCAAAGTGCTTTACAGGTAATGGCGACTCCCCTCCACCACCACCCAATGTGCAGCACCACCTGGATGATGCAACGGCAGCCATAGTGTGCCAGAATGCTCACCACACATCAGCTAGCAGTGGGGAGGAGAGCAGAGTAATGAAGTCAGTTATTAAGAGGCCATTATTGGCAAAGCCAATGGGAAATTTGTCCAGGACGCCAGGGTTAAACCCCTACTCTTTTCGAGAAACGCCCTGGGATTTTTAATGACCGCACAGTCAGGACCTCGGTTTTACATCTCATCCAAAGGACGGCGCCTGTTTACAGTATAGTGTCCTCATCACTATACTGGGGGATTAGGACCCACACAGACCGCAGGGTGAGTGCCCCCTCTTGGCCCCACTAACACCTCTTCCACCAGCAGCCTTAGTTTTTCCCATGAGGTCTTCCATCCAGGTACTGACCAGGCACACACCTGCTTAGCTTCAGTGGGTTGTCGGTTGTGAGTTACAGAGTGATATGGCTGCTTGCCATAAACTTAGGTCTGCATCACTGGCACAGTGTGATAGAGATGGTACTGTATGATTTTGAGACATACAGTAGTGCAAATTTGGATTATTTCATTACCTGCTTCCTAAAGTAGCAGCAAATTAAGCAGCAAGTACAAGCTATCTGTTTCGATGGGTTATTTACCAGTCAGAGGATATACTTATCTTTCTTCTTAGTAAGGACCTCTGGATTCCTGGATGTATGAATCCATTAAATGTTTAATTCTGTTCACCTGTCCCTCCTGTGCTGGTAAAGAAGTTGCAGCAGTGATTTGAGGTTACTCAAAATAGACTATTTCAGGTTTGGGGTATAAAAATAATGAATGGTCACAAAATGAAATAGAAACAAAATAATTACACCTGTAGGATATACATTATGCCTTTAGTTTTTTGACAAAGTTCCTGGCCTGCAAGATTTTCCCCATGCCAAAAGGCAATTGAACTACACCTTTTTCACTCTAGTATATTTTGGAATGATTCAACTCTCTTTCTGGACACCAGAAAGATAAACCTGCTGTTTTCCTTGAAGATCCATAGAAACAGCAGGGGAAAAGCTGGTAGAAGTGATTCCTGGTTGTGAATAAGCAGCGCACCGAGAACACTGAATTAATGTTTCAGGGAAGAAAGAGAAATGATATAATTTCGAAAGAGACCTCCCTGTCACAAATAAGGGACAAAACAAAATCTATTCATCCATTTTCTAGCTGCTTCTTCCAGTTCAGGGTTGCAGGGGAGCAAGGAGTTCAAGGCAAGATGCACCTTCGCTGGGATATTAGTCCATCACAGGGCGGACACACACACTCACATCAGGGCCATTTTTCTCAGAAGCCAATTAACAGCCTGCCAGTATGGTTTTGTAGTGTGGGAGGAAACCCACACAAACACAGGGTGAACATAAAAACTCCACACAGATCGCACCCCAGCTCTGGGATTGAACCCAGGGCCTAGCTGTTCAAGGCAGCAATGCTAACCACCCCACCACTGTGCCGCTTGAAAAGGCAATTGAAAAGGGAAATGGTGTTCTTTTGATTATAAAATACAAAATTAAGACATAGAATGTAAAAAAAAGTAGTAAACTTTAGCTTATTCTGTATGTTTTGTTTCTGTATTGTATAGGCATGTGTTTTTGGTAAGGTCAAAGGCATGCACATATTAAGGTGTGCACCTTCATTTACTGTATATAAAAAGAATTGGCCCGCTGCCTTTACGTAGAAGACCAGGCTATAGAGCATTGATAGTTATTTCTTCTTCTTCTGAGTTAAGCTTTTAAGGACTTCTTTGTCTCAATGTCTGTGTGTTCTCTCTTGTTTATTGAAGGTAAAGTGGGTGAAACGCCAGAGAGCCCATTACAGAGACAAGCGTGCAGCAATCCCAAGTCTGGATGACAGGACTCGTCATGGTGTGTACCATAATTTCACTAGCACAATCCATCACAGAGCTGTCAGGAAGTAAAGTGCTTAGTAAGCACTGCATTGTGGCTATCAGGATGCTTCATGAAACAGTAATTAATTGGAGGCTGTATTACTTTCTGTTTAGGGAGATGAATCAAAGCAGTGTGTTTATACCTGAATAGAGGTTGTGTATTATTATTGTTTCTACATGTACTGAAAGTGTGTCTTGTATCTTCTCCTCTGATATTCCTCTGTGCCTTTAATGATGATCATACACATCAGTAAACAAAGATAATCACCTGAACAGCAATATTTTTCATTTTTAAGATGAGTGGGCTTACATATGTTTTCTTTGTTAACAATTAAAAAGAAATCCCACCACAAATATCTATGCAAATATGATTTGTTACTTTCATGCAGCTATGAAAAAAAGCACCACTGGTTGCTGGGCTCACGTAGTGCTGCAGATCTGTTCTTTCACACAGAATTCGATGGAACGTGCTTTCTGTGGAGGAATTACAGCAGCTCAGAGTTAATACAGCCAGTAAAACAGTCTGATTTCAGCTCTTTCATCTGCAAACTGTGAGCCTGTCTACTGTGGGAATACCAAAAGCAACTACTGTATTTCATTTTGATTTTTATTAGAAATATCTAACAACTGCTATATACAGCTCTGCCATATTTTTACAAACAGGCTGTCATCTGACATAAGATAAATACTTCTAAAGGTATTTATGCAAACTGCTTTTCTATTCATATTTGATTATTCTTTTTCCCCATTTTAATTTGTTTCCCATTTATTATCCCAGCTTCATGTATGAAATTATTATACTTAACTGGTCTTTTTATGTTTCTATATGGAGAAGAGACATGAGAATTTTGTTTTGTTCAGCCTAAAAGCAGCTTTAGCCATGCGTACTGGGTGACATCTGTGGTTGCTGATGTCATTTGTAGATGCACGGCAAATGCAAAAACAAAACAAATATCAAAACAGATTCGTGAAGCACGTAGCGCAAGATGATACAGGGTAATTCCTCGCTCAATAAAATGACTCCTATTGTTATTCAGTAGGTTTTTCAACAATGTCTTTATACAGCACTGATGTCATACAGTTATATATGCATGTTATTTCTAACTATAACTGATTATAAAACTCAGATGTTAGAACAAGGTGAAAACTCGAATACACTACAGAAAATCCATCTGTGTTGATTTGACTGGGGGGTTTTTTCCTGTCTCATTTCTCTTGGTGTCTGAGCTCTATTCAAAATTACTACACCTGTGAAGGCACCCAGAATCATCTCAGTGTTTGCAGTGTTGACAAAATGTTTCAGGACCACCACATAGATTCACCATTGTTCACAAAAATCTTCTAAGCTATTTCAGAGTTTATTTTATATGGAATTGCTATCCACACGTATTGCAGTCAGGAAGCAAACAGTAAGCACTCACTCATGTTGCTGTTTCCTACAGTATGTACAGGTGAAGCCTGCTTTAAAAAACATGTAGAAAATACACAGATGCTTTCTCAAAATAAAAAAAAGATTATTTGCTTAAAAGCAAAATGTCTCACAAAGTGTAGATGGGAAAAAGCTCAATCTTAGCCAAAACATGAAACATTAATATTAAAGGAATACATTTAGTAATGTGAATTTTTATTTTTGTTGCAATATTTGGAACAAAAACATCTCACTTTGAAGATAGGCTAAGATATGTTGTGCTATTTTATGAGCTGGTTTCAAATGCTTTGCATGCAAAATAATACAAAAAATGAGTGTAAATTGAGAGTAAAATTTTAGGGGGCATTTAGAAAACAACAATTTTCAGCCATACTGTATATTGAAACAAATTGTACTTATACAGCTTTTTTCCTGCATAAACAAATGTGCTAAATACATCTGTAAATATACATTATATGTAACTTCAAGTTCTAACATTCTCATGTCAGTCCTTCTGGTTGATGAATACAGTATGGCAATGATACAGCTGACAGTGCTCAAGGCTTAGTATGTGGAGGCAGAATCCTTCTCTTCTACAGGCAGCTGTGAATAGAAGTGTAGCTGTGTGTAATGAGAAATTGCTGGGTGAGCACCAGCCCTTCCCATTTGCATACCTATCCTACGTATTTAAATTAGCCATGCTCTCTTCACTGGTCATTTCACTCCACTCTTCATTCTTCTTTCTTCGTGCATGAGAACCTTTCTCTTCAACATACGCTGCTTAAAATTAAAGCAGTTCGTTCATTGAAGGTATAAATTATTCAAATAAAATAATTATGTTGAGCACAGATTCCATATATAAATACATTTCATTTAAGGGGTCCTAGTGCCGTTTTTCAAACACAGTCAAGAATAGATATTATGGTATTATGTTCTTTCTTTCAACTCTCTGAATCTACAACACTGTGAAAGATAATTTTGCTCAGATTAGACAACTTTAAGTACACAAGATGGAAAATGAGAGGAAGCCTTCAATACAGCCCTTTAAAGCAGTGAGAATATGTTCTTGACACTGGACCATGCATCTGTATAAGGAAAACAGCTACAGACAAAACAGGGATAGAATGAGATACAGCATTTATTGCTTGCAATAGAATCATATCAGCTAAACAAAATATTGAATACATCTAATGGTCTAAAATGTTTAAAGTTGTAATGAAGCTCTCACAGGCAGACACAAGAGATACGAATAAAAAAAAAACATTCAGTTCCCTTTGAAAAAAGAAATAAAATAAAAGTGGAACAAATGCAAGATAAGTTTTTTTAAACACTCAAGTGATACTTGTTTTTGTTTATTTAATCCTATTTCTTCAGAGCTCTGTCAGTTGCCACTGTATACATACAGTATCTCCCAGAGGTCAATAACACAGTGAGTCACTTTAAAGAATCAACACTGTGCTTTTTCTCCTAACAGAAAAGGTCAGATCTGGACAAGGGCCTATGTTAACACACTTTTGAAATGTATTCATTGTTCTTTTTGTTCCCTGTTTTACTGACCAATTATTTAAAGGAATAGGTGGTTCTTTTTTGGTGCATTGTTTCAAAATACACAGAAAGTTGCATTTAATTAATTTTGCAGGTACCAAAAACTGGCTTATTTAATGAAGTTTAGGGGGCTTCTATTTTTTTTTCAATCTTTGTGTTTTTAACCACTTAAGAAGTATAGCTTTTGGACCAGCATAAAGGTTTGATAAAACTTTCTGTTTTGTACCTCTTAAAATCCTTAAGCTCTTAAAAGCTGGGTGAAGCAGCTTGTAACACTTTTTTTCTTTCTTTTACATGCAATATGTTACTAGTACACTGTTTTCTTATGCAGAATAATTAGCTTTATAAAAGAAAAACAGGATAAATGGATAAACAGTGTTGTTTGCATTAAAGCCTAATATCACAGCTCCTGAAGAACAGCTACTTGAATGACTTTAGAATTATTACAGGTAAAACAATTTTGATCTGTTATTGTTTTTATGCGGGGTAACAGTGTAACAGAACTATATGTCTAGCTGCATCTGTATGTAGCATTTTGGCATTTCCATCACTGGCAAATCAAATGTGTAAAACAGGTTATGGTTGTTACATATTACTAACAAATTACTACACAAAATGAAACGATTTCACGAGGAGTACAATAATCAGATGCTTTGTGAATATTTATTTGGTATTTAAGTATAATATGTTTTAACCAACCCCTCTTGGCTGAAGGGTAGCCTCCTAGCCATAGGACGAGGAGGTTTGAACTCCTATTTAGAGAGAGGTGTTAACCAAGAGGTTGTAGTGGGGTGGATGCAACAAAAATGCAAAAAGACGTGTGTGCAAGAGAGATATATAGTGAAAGTCAATAATTGTGATTTGAAACAGCTGGGCAGAATTGGGTATGTCTTTCATTATCCCTCCCAGACTTCAGTTAAGAACTTGCCTTTCATGAGGAATAATGACACCCAAAAGCCAGATGGTTTGTGCCGTCTTGGGGTGATCTCCTAGCCGTGGGAGGAGGAGGCAGGAAACCCCAAAAAGAAACAAGTTAACCCCCAAAACCATCAATATAGAAAGAGATACAGAAGGAACGGGGGCACAGTAAGGAAATGCGGACATTATGCTTAAAAGAGAAAGCAGACTGATCTGGAGGTACTGTAGGATGCCAGACAGCCCCAGAGCCAAAGACATGACATCAGAAGCAGCAAGGGCAGAGGTGAACACTTGGCATAGTGGCAGGAGATAAAAGCTGTAGGACGCCTGCTGATGCCTATTAATTGAGCCGAAAACAGGATACCGGACAGACCTGGACTGAGGAGATGGTATGCAAAGCAGCAGAGGGCGAGAGGGAGAATCCTGGGATTGAATGCACCATAGATGTTGCGTTTGGTCAGCAGATGAGAGTGCAGGTGAAAGAAATATGTGTGCAAGAGTTATAAATAATGAGTCAGTGATGAAATTGGTGAAATTGGCTTTGTCTGTTATCTCTACCAAGCTTGAGTTACGAACTTCCATGTAGAATGACTATTAGCCTTCTGTGAGCTTGCATAAACTTTAGCTTAACATTTCTCTATCCTGTGAACATTTCTAGCACTCTGTAGTGACCATTTAAGCATTGAAAGTAATAATTTATATTTAAAAATGTCTTAAGCTAATATAAGATGCTAATGAAAGGTATTAGATGTGCATATCTGATATGCTGTGAAACTCAACCCATTGGTTTCACAGATCCTAAACATGACTAATCTTGGACTATATTGTATTAATTTAGAAAATCTTACTTAGGATAGGTACTAACTGGGGTCTGTGAAATCAGTTTTGAAAGTTTATTTTCTCAGTGGTTATTTTCATTCGGTCTGGTATTAGAATCCAATTGCAACTTGAGGTCTTACTTGCTATCTTAACCAGGGGATCACATGTTGTCCTGGTGTTCTGGGTGATGCTATCCTGTTTCTAATGGGTACCAATCTTTATATTGACATTTACAGTATGTGATTTCCCAACACTTGCGTTGAGGAATCGGTCCCTATTTCAATATGGAAAACAGTTTCTTTTCATGCTGGACCCCATGTATCGAACACTGGGATGAAACCTGATCCTTAGGAAGTATTAAACAAGGTTTATATTTTAAAAACAGACAGTTTGTGTTGAGATGTATTCTATATTTGTCACTTAATATACAATGTAATCAGTGAACACATAACTTGTTTACTAATCCTTGGGTTAAAAATTAAAACACCAACCACCATTTTTCCAACAAAGGAAAAGGACAGTCTTTGCTTGAGCTCTATAACACAGATATTGCTGGTTTATTTTTTTGAATACTATGCTTTTCTCTTTTCTTGTAAATGCAAAAAATGTTCATACTAGTTTTTGTATTGATTTTGCTGCTCTTTAAAACATGAATATACTACCTGGTAATTGAAGTTATCCTGGTGATGAGTGTAAATGAAATGCAAATTTGATTATTTCCATTAGAAATTCAAACAAACATACAGTAAGAATACAAGAAAGAGCTTTCACACAAAAGGAGACCATTTAATCCATTTAGCCCATTTGCTAGTAGCCGATTGATCTCATCCAGCTATTTATTGAAAAAAATAAGTGCATCAACTTCAAAAACATGGATGGGTAGAATGTTCCACACCTCCACAACCCTTTGTGTAAAAAACTGTTCTCAATCTTAAAGCCTTTTCCCCACAGTTGCCACTAAGGATCTGTGATCTGTGTTACACTTGATGGTGAATTGATGGTTTGAATTTCTGACAAAAGTGGTATAGTAATTTTTGGCTACCAAGAATCAGTCCAAACAAAAATTAATAAATGTCCACAGATTTGAAGAAAACACTTTAGAATTCTATTAATAACATGATAAAATGTGCCAAAAAAAAACAATCAAAGAGAGAATTATTATAAGAGTGGGTTACAAGAGATGCAGGTAAAAATACAGGCTTAAAATACATTCACTGTAATACTGGGGTTAATGAGTATATCTAGTAAATAACCAGTCTCATATTAACGGCAAGACAAGTAAATTATCAGTGAAGTGAATTAATCTTGATTTACATTTAATAATAGCTGAATTCAGGTGCGTAGAAATGTCAGCATTGAAAATTTCTCTTTTTTGTAGAGGATGTCTTTGGTAAATTCTAGTATAAATATGGTTACTCAGTAGTAAGTTGGACAGCAGTGGTCAGACTCTTGTGAGTAGTTTGGAGTCAAGTTGCCAGGGTTCTGCAGAGCACAGCAAATTGTTTAGGCTGCAGCTTTTAAGTGGCATAATCAGGTGTTGTGGGCATCACCACATGGCACATTCATCATTGGTGGATCACTCTGGCCCTGTCAGTGGATTTAGGACAGGTGGCCTTGAGGAGGCAGACTGAGAGGTGCTGATGTGGATGCAATGCGCATCGTTGGATTTACAGTGGCCCAGTTTGTTTGGAGAGTGAAGACTTCCTGCTTATCAGAATCCTATTTCACCAACATGAAGAATAACTTGAGTCAAAGCAGTTAAGAAGCTCCAGGTTACTTTCAGTTCAAGGCAAGAGAAAGATTATTACTATAATCTTCCTGAAGACTTAATTCTAAGCATATTCATAGCATTGCTGTGTCAGACTGTTGATTCTGAAGAAGTCTTCTGAGACTTTGTGAATGCTTTGAGGATTTTGAATACTTGAACCATCTCCTCTTGTAGTCCTCTGTGGTCAAGATCAGTTTAGTTTGTCAGTGTAGGATATTATGCCAAATCCGGGAATGCATTTGGGTGGCATGATCATTTTGTTACATGGTTATCAAAATTGCAAACAGTATTCTAAATGAGGTCTTACTAGTGCATTGTATAGTTTAACATAATACACCTTGATTTACATTCAGTTTTTTTCTAATGTATATATCATAACTTTCATTTTGACATTTATATTGCTTCCCCACATTGACTAGAAGATGTAAATAATATGTCGGCATATACACAAACATTTTTTTTTCATAGGTAGCCTATGAGGGGTTCAGTTTTTCTTATTGTATACTCTATACTTTGCCTTTGCTACCTGCATATAAAACCTTGCATTTGTCTATCTTAAATAGGGCAAATAGTGCTAATAACAGCCCCATTCTTGCACTGCATCTTTCTTTCTAAATGTAAAAGCTGTCCATTAATTTCATAAAGTAATTACAAAACAATACAGTTGTGTATTGGTTTTCTTGGATTATGTGTTCATTTTTCATTGTTTGCAACATTTAGTATAATGAAAGAGTGGTGTACAGTTCACAAATGTTAGAAATAACAGTTTCTATTGTGTTATTACTTATTACTTGAGGTTAGACATGAGACAAAGGAACACTCAAAATAATTTAAAAACTGATAATTTTACAAAATAAATAAAAATGTTTAGTAACCCAAAATGAATGGATACATTCCCTATTATTCTCCTTAGGATCTAATTTCAACTTCAACTCTTGCCTTGTTTGAAGACCTGCTGCATCCAACAATTCCCTTATGTTCACACCTGCCAGCTTTACTGCTGCAAATAAGTCTGAGCCAGCTTCCAGAAGAATTTGGGAGCTCCCTTCAGTTTGGTCCTGGCTGTGGATCTAACTAAGATGACAAAAAATATGGAAAGTTAAAATATGTAAATATTTACTAGAACATTCTAAAAACATAAAATAATAGATAATCTCATGACATATAATTATCTACAAAGTTTAACATTCTGCAGAAAATATGTAAACAAATAAACTATTCCCTACATACACCAAAATTTATGTTAATCTGTCTTGTAGTCAGTATAAATTAATTCTGGAACAGAAAATGCCAGTGTAACACATAAAATTGTGTTTTCAAATTACTATTACGAACCCCAGCCAATATGGGTATAATAGTTGTAGCACTGTGTTACAACCAGGGCTATCCATTAAAATGTATGGTTGTGAATGAATTTGCTCTGTGAAATTTGATTTGATCTGGGAAATTAAGTGAATACAGATGATAACGAAAGAAAAGAGGCAGACTTTAAAGAGGCAGAATTTAGAGTTATTAACACTTCCTTGTGAAAAGGCTGAATGAAAGAATTAGTGCTTTATATTTGATGTTGTGTGGTGGGTTCCTTTGTCTGCCGTACATCTATGCAGTTCATTTATTTCGGTGACATTTTTAATTTTGTGTTTGTGCTTCAGATG